GGAAGGCGAGCGGGACTGGGGCTCTGCAGCCCAGGGCCCAGAAAGGCCGGGTGAGGCGGGCCGTGCGCATCTCCAGCCTGGTGGCCCAGGAGGTAGGTGACCCCCAGCCCCTCCCTCTCCCTTCCAGGCTGGGGCACTGACTCAGGATGCAGCCCAGAGGAGCGACTCTGGCTCCAGGCCGGAGAGAGCTGCTGAGAAGCAGGACAGTTTGGGGAGCCAGAGGGTCCGCAGCCCTGCTCATCCCACTCCTGGCTCCAGGTTGCTCTTCCCCAGGCCTGCTGGGCCTGGAGGGCAGTATTTTTCTTGCCAGGACTTTCCTCTCTAAGGGCCTCCATGGCCCACACACTTCTAGCTCAAAATGCTCCGGGAGGGGAGGAAGAGTAGTAGTAAAATGGGTGCCCAGAGAGGATGGCGGGAGACGGAGGAGAGGAGCCTGCCTCCCCCTCCCACCACACCTCCCGCAGTGGGCAGCGGCCAGGCCTGGCCTGGAAGCCATCGGCTCCACTGCTCCTCTTCTCCACGTGCTGGGGGTGGGCCAGTGGTGGTGAGGGAGGTGCGGGCTGCTTCAGTGGTCCAGGCTTTGGGGCTGGAGTCTGAGGAGGGCGGGGTCAGAGGACAATGGATGCCGTGAGGGTAGCTGAACTGAGGCACCTGGCTCACCTGGGACAGCCTGAGCTGCCCCAGGTCCCCTAGGCTGATGACTCTGTAGGTACCTTCTGGGAGCCACCTTTCCATCCCATGTCAGAGAGCCTGGAGCAAGCTGGGGAGGGCGGCAGAGGGGGTGTTGGAGGTGGCTCAAGGGTAAGTCTGAGGATCCCACCACTGCCACCACCACCTGGCAACACTCTCTGCCTTGGCTCATGTGCTCCTCCCAGCTCCGGGACAGGTATGGGGAGACTCCTTCCCACCCACAGGTGAGGATCCAGGATTTGGCTTAAGTGGGCTTCGGTGTTCTGTGGGTCAAAGGAGGTTACACACCCGGCCCAAGGCCACGTAGTACACTGGTGGCTGCAGAGCTGGGCCTGGCTCCCGTGAGATGAGGTCTGCAGGTCCAGGTCTTGTGTCCAGGCTTGCCCCTTGAGTGTGCGTGTGTGTGTGTGTGTGTGTGTGAGTAGGGTGGTGGTGGTCCTGCTGTGGGCAGACCGCAGGGACCGGATCTCTGTTATCAGTCGTGGTTCTGCCTCTCAGGCACTTGGAGGAGACCCATGGCAGGGGGAGGGGAGGCAGTTACCTTATACTGTCCCTTGTCTGCAGGGGCCCTGGTCAGTTCCTTTTTCCCAATCCCCACCTGACCCTGGAAAGGCCACTGCCCCATGCTCTCTGCCTTAAGGAGCAGGCAGCTTGGGCTGAAGGCAGGGCAGAGTGGGGACCTGGAAGCCACACGCTCCCTCCCCTGCCCTAGGCCCCAGCTGCTCCTTCCACCCATCATGTGCCTTTGGAGCCCTGTGGCCAGCCCAGGGTGGACCAACCCCTAACTATTGCCTGTCTGAACTTCCAGTTACTTCTTCTAAGGCGATGTTCTCCAAACAGTCCCTTTGGTGAGGGGGGGCCCAGGGGATTCCCAGCTTGAATGTGAGTAGGACTCTTTGAGGCTCCACCCACCATGGCCCTCCCCAGCCCAGAGGCCTGAGGACAGAGTGGGGTGGGGGTGGGGGGGGAGGGACTCTGGCACTCAGTGCTACAGCAGCAGGGCCGGCAACCTTGGCTCTCAGGGTGGGCCAGGCCGGGAGAGCTTGGGGAGGGGCTCCTGGGTTGAGTCAAATGTCTGTGAGAGGATTCTCAGGGGCAGGGGGAGGCCATAGGGAGACGCACAGAGGCTCCTGGGACAGGGGGAAGCTGGCCTCAGCTCTTCCTAGTTTGGCTTGGGGAGAAAGCGTGGTGTGCCTACTGCGACCTGGTCTGGGTGGCCAGCTGCCTCTGCCTGATGTTGTGGGGCAGGATGTCAAGGTGAGCCTCTGCTGGCTGTCTGCGTCACTTCTGGACGTCTGCCCGTGTGCATGTCCCTCTGTGTACGTGTAGGCACGTCTCTGCTGGGTGAGGTCTTCTGCGTGCCTTTGTAGGAGTGTGAGAGGGCTGCCCTGAGCCAGGCGAGAGGGGGCTGCCGGAGCAGGCGTGGGGTGTTTTAGTCTCTCTCCCCTGGGGGCCAAGGGCCTGAGTCTGGATGGCTGGTATCCTTGGGCCAGTGGCATGGACGGAGGCCATGGTGTGTGTGTGGGTGTATGTGTGTGGGGGGCTGTTGGGGAGATGTGGGCAAGATCGAATGATGGGAGTCCCACCCCCAGGCAGGGGTCTGTGTTGCTGGTGGGAGCCATTCTGGGCGTTACTGCATGGTGCCCTGGACTTGGAGCCAGCTATGGGGAACTGGACTGCCCAGATTGAGGGGTGGTCAGCGGCTATGGCCACTTGGCCGAGGGGTGGGCATTCTGATCAAAACATTTTGGCCTCCCTCCTTACTCCGCTTGGCCTCTTGTCTGGAGGCTCCAACAGAGATGTCACCTGCTCCCACCCTGGAGGTCCCATGGCCTATCCTCCCCTCTCCTGACTCCAGTTGGACACCACCCCCTCACCGCCACCTTCCCTGCCTGTCCAGGTCCTGTCCCTGGGGGCGGACGTGCTGCCCGAGTACAAGCTGCAGGCGCCGCGCATCCACCGCTGGACCATCCTGCACTACAGCCCCTTCAAGGCCGTGTGGGACTGGCTCATCCTGCTGCTGGTCATCTACACGGCCGTCTTCACGCCCTACTCAGCCGCCTTCCTGCTGAAGGAGACGGAGGAGGGCCCGGTGGCCCCCGACTGCGGCTACGCCTGCCAGCCCCTGGCCGTGGTGGACCTCATTGTGGACATCATGTTCATCGTGGACATCCTCATCAACTTCCGGACCACCTACGTCAATGCCAACGAGGAGGTGGTCAGCCACCCGGGCCGCATCGCCGTCCACTACTTCAAGGGCTGGTTCCTCATTGACATGGTGGCCGCCATCCCCTTCGACCTGCTCATCTTTGGCTCTGGCTCGGAGGAGGTGGGTTGGTAGGGAGGCCGGGGGAGGGGAGGAGAGCAGAGGCCTCTGGAGGGTGTGGGAGAAGGGTGAGGAGGTGGTGGGGTGGAGGGGTGGCTAGAAAGAGGGCTGCAGGGGCCTGGAGGCCGCCCCAGCTGGCTCATGCCAGTCCCTGTCTACCCCAGCCACTCACCAGGTGCAGAGGTCCAGAGGGGGAGCTTTTTTCTCATTTGTCTATCCAAAGAGGCCACTTCTTCTAATTCACAGAAAAGTGCCCTGGACGCTAGTGGGACCTCTGGCCAGGCACCTTAGGGTGGGTGCTGCACCTTTCCAAGCCTCAGTTCCCTCATTCTCACCATGGGGGCCATGAGCCCTTTGTCCCAAAGCCAAGCCAAGATTAGCAGGACACTGTGCTGGGCTCAGTGGGAGGTGCTTCAATTATTAGGAGGAAGTTCTGGGAGGAAATCTTTGGGGACCTTTCCTCTGATGTCCCCCGAGGGCTGCGGTGCCTCCACTTTCCATTGGCCCCACGTGGAATATCTCCTCCCACCCCAGCTCATCGGGCTGCTGAAGACGGCGCGGCTGCTGCGGCTGGTGCGCGTGGCCCGGAAGCTGGACCGCTACTCGGAGTACGGGGCAGCCGTGCTCTTCCTGCTCATGTGCACCTTCGCGCTCATCGCGCACTGGCTGGCCTGCATCTGGTACGCCATCGGCAACATGGAGCAGCCGCATATGGACTCCCGCATCGGCTGGCTGCACAACCTGGGTGACCAGATTGGCAAGCCCTACAACAGCAGCGGCCTGGGCGGCCCCTCCATCAAGGACAAGTACGTCACGGCCCTCTACTTCACCTTCAGCAGCCTCACCAGCGTGGGCTTTGGCAACGTCTCCCCCAACACCAACTCAGAGAAGATCTTCTCCATCTGCGTCATGCTCATCGGCTGTGAGTGTGCGCTGGGTGTGGGAAGAGCCCCAGGTGGAGGAAAGGGTAGAGGCTGGAGGGGCCAACTAGGGCCCGGGGACTTGGAGACTCCAGGGCCACTATCATGGTGTGTTTGGGGGCTGGGACACTGGGGTAGGGGCACAGACAGAGCCCAAGGGCATGCAGGCCTGGGCTTCTGTGTTTGTGACTCTTGCGTGTACGCTCACATGCATGTGTCCTTGACTGGTGCAGGGGCGGGCAGGTTCCTTGGATGCTGACAGCCCCACTCACCCCCGCCCCCAGCCCTCATGTACGCCAGCATCTTTGGCAACGTGTCGGCCATCATCCAGCGGCTGTACTCGGGTACAGCCCGCTACCACACGCAGATGCTCCGGGTGCGTGAGTTCATCCGCTTCCACCAGATCCCCAACCCACTGCGCCAGCGCCTTGAGGAGTACTTCCAGCACGCCTGGTCCTACACCAACGGCATCGACATGAACGCGGTGAGGCCCCTGGCTTGTAGAAGGCTGGTTGGTTGGCTGAAGGGAGCGGTGGAGTGGCGGTGGGAATGCCTCTAGGTGCCGTAATCACACCTCACATCCTATGGTTCAGGTGGTCACGGTTAGTGCTTAGAAAGCCCCTGAGAAGTGGTCACCCTCCTTTTGCCCTTGGAGCTCATTTACTGGGAGAGCTCTCACTTTGGGGCAGGCGGCGACCAGCTCTTGCATGAAGGCCATTATGGTTAATCCTTGCAACAGCCCTGCCCGGAACTGCTCTCCCACTGAACACATGAGCAAATGGGGGCCTCGGGCAATGAGGTGGGTCCCCAAGGGTGCCTAGATAGAAAGAGTGGAGCTGGAATTGGCACCCATGACCTTCCCCCAAACTGGACCCTGATGCTCCTCCCTGGATCTCTGGGTGGGGGTGGGGTGGGGTCCCAGGGTGCCGCGCTGAGCTGGCCCTGCCCCCAGGTGCTGAAGGGCTTCCCGGAGTGCCTGCAGGCCGACATCTGCCTGCACCTGAACCGCTCGCTGCTGCAGCACTGCAAGCCCTTCCGCGGGGCCACCAAGGGCTGCCTGCGGGCCCTGGCCATGAAGTTCAAGACGACACATGCGCCACCAGGGGACACGCTGGTGCACGCGGGGGACCTGCTCACTGCCCTCTATTTCATCTCCCGGGGCTCCATCGAGATCTTGCGGGGTGACATCGTCGTGGCCATCCTGGGTACGGTGGGGACTGGGTGCTGGGCTGGAGTGTCGGCCAAGGCCTGGAGAGGTCTGAGCCCTTTGAGGACACAGGTGTGGGGTCTGTGGACCACGGACTGCTAACAGGGACCTTGGGCTCCTTTAATTCACCCAAGCTCAGGCCCAAGGGGCCGCAGAGAGGAGCCCCCCAGGGGTAGGGTTGCTGAACTCTGAGGGTTCCCAGACTTTGTTTCCCTTCAGGAGCTCCCCACAGGCAGCGACCCCTGGCTTCCTTAGAGTAGCAGCAAAGCCTGCTCCAAGGTGGGCAGTGGAGGGAGGTTACGCATCTGATTTTACTAAGGAAACGTACTAAGTCTCTGCAGCCTCATGTTATACAACCAGGCCCAGCATAATCTGCAAAGCAAAGGGAGTCCTGCCCCTCTTCCCCTCTCGCCCCTTCCTGGGCACCTGCCCACCCGGGCGGTGTGCCTGGGCAGGGGACCTCCTGCCTTCTTCTTGTTCTTTCCTTGTCACGGAGGGCCACTTTAGATTTTTAGTTCACAAACACCCCCAAACAGAACCGAAACCAGTTTCTCTACACAACACTCAGCCTTACTAGGTATTTGCTGTGCGAAGCTGTGCTGGCCTGTCTTTCAGTAAACAAAATGTGGGCCTCGAGTCCCTACTGTGTTCTGATCTGTAGTCTGAATAATGCTTATGAGGGTGCAGTGACTGGCCAGGGGAGGTTTGGAACATGGGTTTCAGGGGGAGAAGTGGAGTAAGAATCTAAGGAAGCCTGGGTTGTGGGCACAGCGAGGCATCCAACTGGTCCTGCTGGCTGGTTCCTGGTGTTGCGAGGCCCAGAGCTGAGACAGGGAGAGCCGGACTCCTGCCTTCACCCCACCAGGCACTGCTGGGAGCTGAGGGAGGAGGGGGCTGGCTGGTAGGTCTCTGGCTCTGTGGGCGGGGGCTGGGTGTGGACAATGGGTGAGCATTCGGGAAGACAGGTGCTGCTGTCTGGCTGCTGCCCGAGCTGAGTCCCCCTCTCCATGGCCTCCAGGGAAGAACGACATTTTCGGAGAGCCTCTGAACCTCTACGCGAGGCCTGGCAAGTCCAACGGGGACGTGCGGGCCCTCACCTACTGCGACCTGCACAAGATCCATCGGGACGACCTGCTGGAGGTGCTGGACATGTACCCCGAGTTCTCCGACCACTTCTGGTCCAGCCTGGAGATCACATTCAACCTGCGAGACGTGAGTGGGCTGCCCCTGCAGGCTGCGCCCTGGGGGGCTGCCCTTAAGCTGCCTGCCCTCCTGGGCCTGCTTCCCTGCCTGTCAAATGGTACAGAGTCTGACCAGGATGTGAAAACCCCGCCTCCGCCCTTGTCCTGAGGCAGAGGTCAGGGCAGTGCCCCCCCATCTCCGTTAATGAGGGGTTTGAGCCTGACCCCGGGCAGGGTGGGTGGCGTGGAAGGGCCCTGACACCTGCCTTGGTTCCAGACCAACATGATCCCCGGCTCTCCCGGCAGCGCGGAGCTGGAGGGTGGCTTCAACCGGCAACGCAAGCGCAAGCTGTCTTTCCGCAGGCGCACCGACAAGGGTGAGGAGGGGGAGGGGCAGGCGGGTCCTGTTGAGGAGGGGACAGGGTGGAGGGAGGGAGGCGTGGGCAGGGTCCAGGCAGGCGGATGGAGGGCAGAGGGTGGGGTCCAGGTGACAAGGAGGAGGGCAGAGCTCGGGGTCCAGTAGTATCGCTCTGTCCTGTCTCCACAGACATTCCTGCCTATACCTTCAGTGCTCCCTACTCCTCACCTTAACTGTCCAAACTTAGCCCGTCTTTTCAGGCCACTTGAACTGTCACCTCCTCCAGGAAGCCCTCTGCCCTCACAGCAGGGGCACGCCTGAGCTTCTTTGGTCCTCCCAGGGCTGGTGTCTGGGTGGATGCTGCCTTGAACTGATGAGGGAGAAGAGACAGGACAAAGGAGAGCAAGGGGGCAGGACCTGGGCTGAGGGCCCGGGGACCCAGAGGGGCCTGTCCAGCGTTGCTGCTGCCCATTTTAGGCAGCCAGTGGCTGGAGAGGACCTGGGCCTGTTGCCTGGGGAAGACACCCCAGGGTGGCCTGCCACAGCCCTCTTCCGGGCCTGCTCTGGTTCCCTCTCCCCCCTTCCCTGCCTCTCCACTCTGATTTCCTCCATGCCTCCTGCCCTCTCTGAGGCCCGTTCTCTGTTTCTGACAGACCCGGAGCAGCCAGGGGAGGTGTCGGCCTTGGGGCCAGGCCGGGTGGGGGCAGCGCCTAGTGGCCGGGGTGCCGACGAAGGCCCAGGCCGCAGCTCCAGCCCCCTCCGCCTGGTGCCCTTCTCCAGCCCCAGGCCCCCTGGAGAGCTGCCGGGTGGGGAGCCCCTGACTGAGGACTGTGAGAAGAGCAGTGACACTTGTAACCCACTGTCAGGTAGGGCGAGGGCTGAGAGGGGAAGGGGGGGCGTGGCGTCTGTCCTGGCCTCCCTCACCCAGCTTTCTGGCTCCAGGGGCCTTCTCAGGAGTGTCCAACATCTTCAGCTTCTGGGGGGACAGTCGGGGCCGCCAGTACCAGGAGCTGCCTCGATGCCCCGCCCCCGCCCCCGCCCCAAGCCTCCTCAACATCCCTCTTTCCAGCCCTGGCCGGCGGTCCCGGGGTGACGTGGAGAGCAGGCTGGATGCCCTCCAGAGGCAGCTCAACAGGTGAGGGCAGCCCCTGGGGTCCAGTCGAGCGCCAGCTGTGTGTTGGAGGTCTGTGAGTTGTGCAGTGCGGGATATTGCAGTGTGATCTCTGGGTTCCTGGCTATATTGTATGGAGATTGGAGAGTGTGCTCTGTCCAGTGTCCCATTCAGAGCTGAGCCAGGGGCTGACATACCTGGGGTTGACCAGCTGGCCCATCAAGAGTGTCTCCAAGTCACAGCTACTGATGTCTCCGCTTCCCCGAGACCCAGAGCATCCTCCTTCTTGCCCCAGGCTGGAGACCCGGCTCAGTGCAGACATGGCCACCATCCTGCAGCTGCTACAGAGGCAGATGACGCTGGTCCCGCCCACCTACAGTGCTGTGACCACCCCCGGCCCTGGCCCCACCTCTACCTGCCCCCTGCTGCCTGTCAGCCCCATCCCCACCCTCACACAGTACTCCCTTTCTCAGGTGAGTTCCAAACCCCCTTCCGCCATGACACCAAAGCCCTGCCTTTTCTGAGCCAGTGCCACCCTAACCTGCTTTGCTGCCCTTTCTGCTTAGCCGTGGGCCCCAGCCTCTCCCAGACTGTGCTCCTAAAGAAGGGAAGCCCCAGGAGCTGTGGGCACAGGGCAAAGCAGCAGAGCCCCCAAACTAAGGTCCCCAGGCAGCTGGGCAGAGGCATGAGCAGGCTGAGTGGTGTGGGCTCCCCTATGCCACTGGAGGGCCCGATCTGCTCATGATGCCTGTGTCGTGACCACGAGTGGTCTTCAGGGGATACTAATTGACCCCATGGCCTGGTAGTCAGTGCTGAGTGCCAGTGAGCCCTTGGGACAGGGTCCCAGGTCTCTGGTGTGAAGGGCACCCACAGACCTGACTGTTGTAGTCAGTGGCTGTCACACTGGCTGCCTTGCAGGGTTGTCCTGAGGGCTTTGGCTAGTTCCTAGGGTAGCTTTCTGGCCCCATTTTCCTCCTCCTGCCCTTTGTCCTCTCCGGAACAACCTCCTAACCGGATCTGCCCCTTCCTCTGGCATTTGACGCCCCTCTCCCTCCCC